GTGTGGTATCGTGGCCTTTTTAGTTAGTGCAGGCCTGTGGTTCCATTCCCATGATACCAAGATATTCAGTACTTGTTGAATAGCCAGACAGTGTGACAGCAGAGTGTCAAATCCTGAAAAAATCATCTGCCACCATTTCCCTTTTTTTCATCTGGTTTGAGTGAATGAAAACAGGATGAGAGAAAGCTCTTGTTCTGCACTTAGATCCACAGTAAGCACATGCTGAAGGCATTTTCCCAGCCTCTCCGCTCTGCTTCCCATGTTGTGGCCAATCCCCCGGAGACTCAGGTTCTCGTCCACGTCTCTGAGGAATGGGGACTGGTGAGGAGCTTCATTTATCCACACAACCCTTTAGAAAGAGTATTTCCAGCAATACTTTGAAGTTAACATTGTGTGTCCTGTTAAAGAACCATACCAGTATTTCTGCAGTTTGTCTCATTTACTACAAATTATGTAGAGTTTATATCAGCAGCTAAAACAGACATTGGTTGCCATATTGTCTTTTTAAAAATCAAGTCACAGATACCTTGCTTGACGCATCCCAGTAGGGTCTGCTTGTATTGTACTGAATCAAAGTTACATAGTTTCATGTATGGATTGATCTGAAATGTCTGAACTGCCTTAACATAAAAGAAAACATCATCCTATGAAAATGGAAGTTCATTCTTGACCTTTACGAACTGTTTTATTAACAAAATAAATAAAGGTCAAAGGTCCACTTACTTGCTTTGTAGAGCTTTCTGTTTTTGACTGGGGTGGCACAAGTGGGGCACTGACAGTCATTCCCAATTTATGCAATTCCATCACTGTTTAAGGACTCCATTATTATACATTATTTAACATTAGTATCATCACTCTAGCTTTAAAACAGAGGATGCTACAGCCGTCTAAAAACAGTGTGGAGTAGAAGAGGAAAGGATAAAGGGGTGTAACTTGGGGTGGCCAATCAGATTTTAGGGGTGGCCAGTGCCCCCCCTCTGAAAACACCCCTGCTCACGTATATTAATCTATATCACAATCTCCAGCCCCCATCCCCACCCTCACCCACACTCCTCAAAGTAGACTACTTTGTGACAGAAAGATTGTGTTCATTGTAAAGCATTATCTTTATTATGCAACCCTTCAAGTCTCTACAAGTTGATCATTATACTATGCATAAATGAATGGAAACCAGTGGAAAACACATCCATAAATCAGAAACAGTGCACATGCCTTGGAAATAGTTTGAAGAAATGAAACACGTGCAAAAGTATGCCTGTAGTAAATGTTCTAAAATGTGCAAAAGCACTGTTATCATCCTTTAATGCTGTAAACTGTGCAGTAACTCTGCACACTTGAGACCTGAGAAGAGAGGTTTCAGGGGTACAGTAGATCCAAAGACACAGCATGATGGTGGTGATGACGAATGCACTAAAATTAGAAGCCTTTGTCCTTCCTATGTGACACGATGTGAGACGTGCACTGACTTGAGTGCCATTTGTTGCTCCCTGGGTAACCAGTTTACGTGAGGCATTGGTGGCAGCAGTTTTTTTAAGATGGTGAAGCAAGTGTGCTGTGCAAACACGGGAAAAAGCTGTTTTCAGTAATGACAAACAAATCTCTGGTACTGGTCAGGAAACTTGTTTATGCTTAAACTGAAAGTGAGTTTCAGAGCTTGAGGCGTTTTAAATAAGATGTCTGCTGAACTGAAAGAAACATTTTAACAAGGCAGTAACCTCCTGACAGCTAGAGGACTTTGGCATTATGAAGCAGAGTACTACCACAGTACTGTAAACCTGCTGTAGAGCTACAGTGTTCACCTTGAACTTTTACTGGAAGTCAGTTTTCACTTGGCTTCCTGTATTCTCTGAGCCTGTTGATTTATGCAGCAGAGACAAGAGAATGCAGTACTGGCCTCTATCTTCTATCTGTAGGATCATCCAAATGATTTGGATCTGACACATTTGTAGCTCAGCTTAACTTTTATTTCAGTTTCCTCCGATATTTTCCATGATGACTAAGCTAGAAGCCTTTCAGAGCTAGACACTGTTTCCGGCTTTTGTATTAATGGTGTGCTCTGTGTCAAATCTGACGTCAAGCTGAAAGATGAAGATAAATAGTCCTGACCTTGGCGCATATGAGCAGCAGTTTGCAGCCCTATATAAAATGAAGTGTTTTTAGCCAATATTTTGCAACAATGATTTTTCTTCTGGTTTTGCCCTTTTGTAGCTTTCATTTCAGAGCTGGCAAGGTTTATTTTTTCCTTCAATTATTATGGACCCTGTTTTGGTTCTTTCCTGTTCATGAGGCCGTGGTGCCATCTCGGCACTGTGCCACTGAGGGCAACACAGGCGTGAGATTTCCAACCTGTCTAACTTGATCCCATAACTTTTTATTTTTTCCAGTCATGTCTTTTTCATTTAGGTCAAACAGAGTCAGGGTGCTGCTATTGTGCATGCTTAATTTGGGTCAATGGTAACACATGGGTTTACCCTACTATTTCATGTCAAAATGGCTGCTGTTAAAAAAGGTCTACACTTGTAAATAGAATCAATTCTTAGTTGCTTTTGGCCTATTGGATTTGTCAACATCAAGAAATGCCTTCATTGTAAAGTCTGCTTTAGGTCATTTTTGCCCACTAGGGGGCAGACAAACTCCAAAACAAACCCAGAAAAACCCAGCTCTCATATGGACTCAGTATATCAAGTGTCTGTATTTGACATTGCAATAGTCGTCCTGTCCTTTCAATCATGTGGGTCTCATGCTTGAGATGTGAGTTTAACCAGCGGACACACCCTTGGCATGGATGTCCTTGGTCTGTGGCCTAACAGCTATGTTATTGCTGTGCACATTTAACACAAACACTGAAGTTGTGGTGTAGTTCAAGACTGATCCACAAAAACGGATGCTTGGACACAGCAAAGGGGCTACTGAGAGGGTGAGAGAGGGTTGTTTAGTATAGGGGGATGTTAATGTGTGCACAAAGTGCCCCTGAAGATGATGGAAGTCATCAGCTTGAGATGTGAAAATAGCTCTTCAGTCAAGAGACCGTTATGGAAGAAGGCTGGGGTAGCGTCATCCCTGACATCATCACAACTGTGTCTATTTCTGTGCTCCTTTGTTTCTTCAGCATTTGTTTCTTCAGATTACAATCACCCCTCTTTCTCTCTGGTTCTCCATATTTGGACTTGGTTTATCTTGTCTTTCTCAACTCTTCTCTAAGATGTTATCCTTTCTCTCCCTCCTTTCCTCCCCATCAAAAACTCCATCCACCAGAAATCTGTCATTAATCTTCACTGATCCAGACTGGAACTGATTTCTGCCAAGACTCCTAACAAGTGCCAAGTATGCTGCAACGGAAGGTAGCCACATCTTTTCCAAAAAAAGGCTCGGTATTAGAGCTCATAATTGGGCTTCTAGTTTCTTTTAGTACCATATGTTCTAATCAGATTCAATTTGGATATTTCTTTTGGCTTTGACATTAGCAGTAGATAATGACCAAGTCTGCAAACTACCTCCCGTCTTTCTCCATATTCTCCAGATACAAAAGTAGGATTCTGGCAGGACCTGAGTTGATTAGAAGGAGTTAATTTCATGGCATGTAAAACCAGGGGGGGGCTTGTTGTAAACACTGTCTACAGCCTGAGCTCATGTCTGAGACCATGCCTGAAAGACATACATAGAATGGGAGGGATCGAGTCGAAGCAAAAGGAGGGGTCGGGGTCGACTGGAAGGGGGCCCTAAGAGAAACAGGAGTGGGGGAGAGGGTTGGAGATGGAGGAGGGATGGATGGGTGGTTGGAAGGGTATAGGAAGGGGAGGAAAGGAAGGACACCTGGAAGGTTTGTCTGGGGCAAAATGCCTGCAACAACAAGACTGCCTCGCCACTGGTTTCTGTCTGAGGAGAGAAAAGAAAGACGAAGAAAAAACAAATGAGAAGAAAGTGGGAATGCAGAGAGTAAATACAAAGAAGGGGGGGGTGCTGTTGGAGGCGCATCAAGAATTTGCCTTTTAAGGGGTACAGTCTTCCACTTCCAAGCCTTGTGAGCTCTTGCGTAGCAGCCAAAACACTCAAGGGAGAAGAAATAAACAACAGTAAAGAGGCCGTGAGGAAAAGAAACACGAGCAATGCTAATATCTTTCACACTACTTAATAGCAATATTAAAATTGCGCAGGGCCTCTTTGTGCTACAAGTTTCCTTTATTACCTTGGCAGAAGAGATCAAAACAATGACAAGGATGCATCTGACATTCCTTCATACAACTTCTCACATCCTTTGTTTCATGTTAGGTATGGATTCTGTGGTGAAAGAGACGTTGTTCTGCGATTTCAACTAACAGGCTGTTGCATTGTAAATAAACAAGGGAGGGCTCAGTCCGCTCTGAATCACTGGTTTGCCCAGCATCCTAACAGCTGCCGTCACTGTGTGGTTTTCTTGGTTGTTTTCTAGACAATACCGACCATGTGCTAAGGAGAGACTGCCTGTATCTGGGAGCAGGAAACTGCCGAGGAGGAGAGGTGGGTGGGGGTGAGAACAGAGAGGTAATTGTATATGTAAGAGTGAGGCAACCCCGGTACAGGGGTAGAAGCAGGAGCAAAGGGAGAGAGAAAGAAGGGAGAGGCGCGTTGTTGGGATGGTAGGGCTGCGGAAGAAGAAGAAAAGCAACAAAAGGAGAGAAAAGAGTGAAGAACAAAAGAAGAATTAAAGGAGAGATTCACAGGATGAAGATGAATCCTTGAGCACTGACATTTGAGTCAAGGGTCATATGTGTGAGTCCAGGTAATGGGGATGTAGTGACAGTGATGCGAAGAAAAACAAAGAAAAAGTTAAGTGTGGAAGCTGAGTTTGGGTGTTGTGAAACAAAGAAGAGCAGTCGGGGGGGGGGACTGAAAAATGGGGAGTCCACATGTGACTGCAGCAGGACTGAACTGGAGAGAGAGGTGTTTTTAAAGTGTGTATAGAAAGAAGGAGGTGGGGGGGGGGCAGTGAGAGCATGCAGAGTGTATCCTTCCCTCTGTCCCTGTAGTGGGGCTGAACAAGAGCCAGGAAAAGGGGAAGGGCCTCCCTCTCCTCCTCTCCAGCTGACAAAAACAGCTGCCCAGGAGCCCGAGCTGGAGCCCGTTTAGAGGACAGAGAGGGAGAGAGGAGGAGGGAGGACAGAAGACGGAGAGAAAAGAGCAAGAGGAGGAGGAACAAGTCCCTGAGTCCAGGACCCCGTCCACCTATATGGGTTGCGTCGTGAGTTCGGACTGGTGTGGGGAGGAAGAGGTGCAACCGGTGCCGGTGGTCAGAAACCCGTCTCTGAAGAGAAGGAGCCTGGAGAGGAGTGAGAGTGGCAGGATGAGGTTGACGAAGGTCAGTGTGCATGCAGTGTTCACATGAGTGTGTGATGAAATTATAGATGAATGTGTTCACTATAACTGGGCGTGCAAATGTTGAAATGCACCCCCCTTGGGCATCCATGAGAGTGTGTCTTTGTTTGTAGACAGGGTACTGGACATCATATCTGTCACAGAATGTTAGAGTATGTGAGTTATGTATTGATCAGAGGTACATTAAAGGGAAAATATATATATGTAGGATGTTTTGCTGATCATTTAATCTACAGTAATGACTACATATACTGTTACAATGTTTTTTAATATGTTGTGGCATGATGCATTCTTTAATGGAGCCCTATGTTTCTCTGAAGTCTTCCAAATTAATAATATCAATAGATCAATAGCTTGACTACACGTTAAAGTCTGTTTACAGGTCTACAGGTGGAGTATTTCTGCACATGTGAAAAAAGTTTTATTAAGCTGTTTGCGGCTCTAGATGGAGATATGTGAAAATTGCCTTGCGTGATGTCACTTGAGTCAGCATCGGTTGGGTCCGAAGACTACAAGTTTAAGAATGACAACAATCTCGGGGTGTGGAGTTAGAAACAAGTGAGCTTACAGGGCCTGTAAGCTAGCCTGTTCCTCATCTCTGCTTGAGGCTAGTAGCATAACACACCTAAACCTCCAACAGAACCATTGGCGGTTGAGTTGAATTGTGGGTAATGTAGGCGCCAGGTTTTGATATGGAAAAAGAATGCATGGAATAAAAAAAACGTTATCTCCAGTTCTGCTGCATTGATGTTAGATTAGATAGAGTCTATCCTGTCAATCAGTGGAGGACTCTTTTAATTCATTTCATTTTAATTTAATTAATTTGGAGTCAGTCCAGCGGTGTATAATAATCATTTTTGTAGCCAAATGTTTTATTTTTAACTGCTACTTGAAGATTCTCCAAGAATACATGTTTGGGGTTTTATTGTTATATATGTATTTTGAATTCTGCAGCTTTCCCACAGAGTAATGTAGTAATGATGCTTCAGTATCAGTTGAAACAAAAGGATGGCTTGAATTTTTATGAGACCCACATTAATTAGGAGCCAGTGATCAATACAGTGGTCAGTGGTCTTTTCATCTCATACTTTTTATACCTGGTGGGAAATTCCCTTCCCTGCTGCCCTGGTCTAAAGGGAGGTCAAAGGTCGGCTGAAGAGCAAGGAGTTGATCAATATCAGATCCATGAGTGATAAAAAAAAAGTGCCAGGAAATACCTCCTCTTCTTCTTTCATTTGAGAATTTGTTATGCCCGTCTCATAGACATGTGCAGGAGAGCTCAAGTTTGAAGAAGAGATTGTTCATATTGGATGGATTTTTACAAGGAGCGTGTGTGTGTTTTGTTTGGCCTTGATTTAAGAGATGATGTGGATGACGGTGGTATCTGGTCATCTGTGCAGAAACAATGGAAGTGTTGTGATGGCCTCGGCACAGCAGGGGAATTACCATACTGTGACAATGTAACAGAGGCATGCTCGCTGGCTGGAGTGATGATTAGCCATCAAGAAAACATTGAGAACCTTGACCTCTGTCCACCAGCTTACATCACATTGGATTACAGACAGACTTAAGTATTTATGGCTTTCTTATCCAGATGTGTTCAGTTTGTTTGCGTGCATTTTCCTAAATGCACATGCATTCTGATTTCCATCTGCACTTGTTTTTTCGTGTGTGTATGTGAGAGAGTGTGTATGCTTGGTTGCACCACAGTCCCAATGGCTCCATATCACATGCTGAGCAGCGTGGGAATGTGGAGCCCTCTGGACGACGTCATCCTGCAGTGACCGACCCCACTGCAGGGGTGTGGGAACAAGTTAGATCCCACTGGTTATCCTAGAGGAGGAGATGTTGTCGCATTTATTTATTTGTAAACTTTTTTTAGGAACTTGTTTTTAGCATTATTATATATAATCATGGTTGTTTTCCATGGAATATTAGGTGTGAGATACTGTTAGTGAGAAACAGCAGAATGTGGCTTTAATTTCTTTATATCCTGGCAAAAACCATGTGAATACTGCACATATCCTGTCAGACTTAGGTCAAGTACTTACTGGAAACATAAAATGATGTTCCACATGCTGCTTTCAGTCAGTGTGATTACATAATTTGCTGATGTCAGGAACATGGGAAAGCACAGTTTTATCACAGTTTTTCTTTAATCCTTCAAGTTTTTTTTATTTATTGCCATTAATGGTTTTTGTGGTTATTGGTGTTGTTATACAAATTATGGGTTTTTCATTATCCACCTATAGCTAATTATCAGATTATCTGTACTCTTTAGGAGTTAATTTGATCATTTACTCACTGTCCAGTGATTATTGAACAGTTGTTGATGGAAAGTAGCTGAGCGTCAACAAACAACCTCCTAAAAAAGGATTCTTGTTAAATTCTGGCAGAGATAATAAATCACATGGTTCTCTCTAAAAAATAAATTGAAAAAATGGCGTAAATGTGAATGATGCAGAAGTCATGTGGGACAAATCAAAGTAGGCGAGCCTCGGACAGAAGTATTGAAACTGTCACCTCGAGGTTATGTCCTCGTCATAAGATTTTTCTGATCCGTCCTATTGTGTGTTATGATCACAAACAGACCATACTGGCATTGGAAGTTAAATGTTTGAATATCTTGGCAGACATCATAATAAACATGTATTTAATTCAGCTACATGCACAGCCAAGGGTTCAAGCCTGAGAGTCATTAATGGAATCGCTTGAGAGTTGCAATTTAATATGAAACTTATTCTCTCGCAGCCTCTATTGCCATGGAATGGCAGGATCTTTTCAGCCACGCCAGCAGCATGGCTCTACAGATAACAATGTCAGTCTGTCAGTCAGTCCACCACTTTAGTCCAGAATCTAATATCAGTTATTGGATGGATTTCCAAGAAATTAAGTGCAGATGTACGTGGTCCAGAGATTGAATCCTAATGACTTTGGTGAAGCCCTGACCTCAGCTGTACTTTTTGTTTAGTACTAACTTTAATGTTACCTTGCTAACGCACTAAACTAAGATGGTTAAACATTCAGCATATTAGCATTGTCCCTGTGAGCATGCTGAAGAGGTCGCTCAAAGCTTACTGGTACTTGCTTATAATTCTAGTAATCTAGAAAATTAAAGAGCTGGTACGTAGGATTTAGTGACATCTAGTGGTGAAATTGCAGATTACAACTAACTGAATACTGCTCACGTCTGTATTTGACAAATTAATGTGTGTAGGAGGAACTACAATGGCCGCAAAACTTGAGAAAAACACGAAAGGCCCTAACTAGAGCCAGTGTTTGGTTGGTCCGTTCTTCGCTACTGTAGAAACATGGCAGTTCAACATGGCAGCCTCCATGGAAGGCGACCCGTGGCGTCTGTAGATATAAATAGCTTATTCTAAGGTAACAAAAGGTGATTATACACTAATGAAAACATACCTATCAATACTATAATCCATTTCTGCCAAGAGATCCTCCTTAATGTAACACACTTGACATTTAGTTTAGTTCTATCTTCCAACCCACTGTTTAGAGAAAATGTCCAATTTGTACTCACCCCAGTTCTGCTCTTTTTTGTGTGCCTGTTTTACTCTAGAAATACATAGAGACCTGGCTTTGTGACAGTGGTTTTATATGTATTTGTCTTGCTTCCCTGTAATTTGTCATGAGCAACAAAGTTTAGATTGGCCATGACAAATACTGAGGCCTTGAGCCACAGGCATTCACTACAAACACACACCCAAGACAGGAAGGAACACTGACCGGTTAGGGTTAAATATAGACCCCCCCAACATCTAGAATAGAATAGAAAAGAAATCAAATTCTCACACTCCTGCATGTTAGAAAAAAAGTCTTTAGGGGGTTAGAGCACCTACTGAATTCCTATGTAAACTCCACACTCAGGGGGTGGCTGTCGTAGTCTAGATTTTTGTGGCCTCATCTGTCCCAAACTCTGAGCGGGATTTGAGGAATGCTTGTTGTTGTGTGTAGCGGGCACGAGGATGAAAGCTGATCGAGGGGAAAGGGAAAGACATAAACCATTTCCTCCCTCCGTAGGTCTGCAAACCACCCCAACAAATCCCAGCACCACCCTTAAAAGAAAACACCTCATAGCAAAATATGCAGGGTTTCTTTTCTTACACTCAAAAATGTCGGGCTTGACGTTTGTCCAAGTTTTGAAAAATGTCTTCGGGACTGAGCAGCACTGGCTGACAGAAAGGATTTTATTGAACTCATCGGCCCGATAAATGCGAACATGTGCTCGTTTGTGTCACCAGTATCTCTGTGTCTCGCACACTCTTCCCACTGCTCTCTCGCTCTTTCGCTCCTTCAACAGCTGCACCTTATCAGTCTCTGGCGTAGTGCTGTCTTACACAATCCTTAGTCAAGCTACACAGCCCCCTTTTCTAGCCTCCTCCTCCTCCTCCTCCACCCCTCATTTCCTCTTGGCCCGGGTTCCCACTCTGTCCACCTCCTTCTCATTTACCTCCAAGCGTGATTCAAGTCCTTCCACTTCCTCAAGACTCAACATTCTGGACACACCTGGCATCCTTGTAATATTTCATGCATTGTTTATGAAGCACCTTGCATTGTGGTGTCCACTTCAGTGTTGGTGTAAGATTCAGGAGCCGGCAAAAGTGTCATTTTCTCAAATCAGCACCTAAAATCCCTTCTCTCTCTTCCCATCCACAACAGCGTCATCCCCCTCTTTCCTCCTTCCCCTCCATCTTTCTTCCAACATGACCATCCCCCCACTTTACTCGCCAACTCAACCCCTCATTCCAATCCCAAGCACCAGCTTCCTGTCTCTCATGGTCCCTGAGTATTTTGTTAGTCTCGCCTGTGGCCTCCCCGGGGGCCCCTCCTATTACCTTTTTTCACCTTACTACTTTGTTCCCCTGCTCCCTAATCCATCTCTCCGCCCCATTCCCCTCCGTTCCCCTCACCCTGCCACAATCCAGAAGAAAGGGAGCCGAATTCCACAAACAAATCAAACTCCCC